AGGTGGTAAACGCACTAGCTCAGCTGCTAGTAAACAATACATTGATAACTGATACTTACAAGCTACATATATTACAGATATAAGTTAAATAAAATAAAAACATAAAAAGAATTCTACCCAATAGAGGTACAACAAATACATACATACATATAAATACATTACATAAATTACATTAATATATGTTTATAACAATTAACAGACAAGGTAAAATTGATTGAGTTTAAAATTTGGTAGATACGTAACGAACGCTTTCGGTTTTCCATTGACAAGCTTGTATAAATTGTTTTTTTTTTATTTATGTCATTACGCAACCGAGTGGTTTGACTTTTTGTCATGTTTGGACTCTAGTCCTTGGTTGTTTTATTAGCTGTTACAATAATTATGTAACACACAGGTAATTTACATTGCGCCGTATACAATAACACAATTATTGTTAGATATCCATAGTGATTTGCTCAAATCAGAATTGGAAAAGGCGTGATTGTTAAAATATGAAATCCTTTTGTCAACTAAAATGACATTTGAAAAGCCATTTTACAGCTGATTAGTTATCTTCTGATGATCAGTGTTTCAGAAACCGGGCGTTAGAGGTGATGAGTTAATAAGGTTCTGTTTGAAAAAATCGCATGTGTATACAGCAGTATCAGCTTAGATGGCTACATTACATTTCATGCTAGAAACAAGCAACAGCTACTGCTGTTGGCATCGGCGTCGGGATCGTGGGTTCGATTCCCACACGGGACAACTATTTGTGTGACCCACAGATAGTTTTTTCGTATCTGGGTGTTTGTCCACGTGAAATTTATGTTTGTAAAACGTCCTTAAAACACAGGATAATATCCTTAAAGTAAAGGCAATGTTTAAATAAAAAAAAAAATAAGTAGTTATACCTGTACGTTATGGTTGGGGACTGGGCCCTGATCTTAAAAATTGACAACGTAAATGCACTTCTTCTAATTTTGCGGCGGCGGCGGCGGCGGCTATTACTATATGGTTAATCTTACTGTTATGTCAAATAGCTTCGTGAAACTTGGAAGATGGAACGGTACTTAGAGCGAAGAACGCAGAGAAATACAGATCATAGTGTAGCTTTCCTACTCATTTTAGGGCTTCGAATTTAACCTAAATATGTTAAATTATACTTTGTTTCTTTTTATATTAATTATCTCAGAATACTTATTCACATGTTCTGTATTGCGCAACGTGCGTACTGCGTATCTCGTCTCGAAATTTCCCTCTCGTCAATATACGTCTAGATAACTACACATTTGCAGTCGAAATGATGACGTTCCATTTTACACCCTCTGACGTTTTGCTTATGTATGCATGATCGGCGTTTTCCTTAAACAGTCGAAAGCATACGAACAAGCAGATTCGTTGCAGGCGAACTATTATTTGGTTAATGCCACTCCGAGCTAAATACCTAAAAGTAGTATTTAAATTAATATTCTCTATTTCTTCCCGTACATTATTTATGCTCTAGATGAGAATGATTGTTTCATAGATTTTACGTCGTGATACTAAGCATGTTTAGCAAAGACTTAATTTGTTCATAGTTTCAAGCTGTGAAGTTCATTTGTCTCGCAGTATCCTTATGGTTAAATTCACTAGTATTATCTGCAATCATGACATCTGGTTGGTCAGCACAATGAAATTATAATCCAGGGCACCCATCACTGCGTCTTTGTGAGAGTTTCCTTAATAAACGGTAATAAAAGGAGCACGAGGAAGTATATTAGGACTTTGGTGTCAGGCGGTAGTATAAAGTTTCCCACTAGTCGTTATAACTGTTACGTGGAACGGTTATGGGCAGCTTGTTGCGTTTTTGTTGCGGAATTATGTGAGGAGTTATGTAAGCCAGCTGCAGACCGCTGGCAATCACACGCGTTAAAATAACCCCACAGGGCGACTGCCTTGTTCTACATTGATGTTCGGTCACATTTAGACTTAGTCAACTATCTTAGCAACGATAATAAAGCTTGGGATGTAGCTGTGAGACCTTCAGCAAGATGACAATAGTCGGGCGAATTAAAGCCAATTTCAGTATTCACAACTCAGAAATGACAATATTCACAAATAGACCTCGGAAATTGTGACCCCCAACTATATTTTAACTGTGGTAGGGCCACGCAACAGTACCATGACCTCACAGAAGACCGGTGTGAAGTGATAGGTAATATTCAGTACTTCAACTACAATCTTCGCGATTCGTCTGGTGAGTGAGGTAGCCGGAGCCCATTTTATCAAAAGGTGGCAACGCATTTACAATCCTACGGGTATCGCAAATATCCATGGGTGGCGGTTATCATTTAACATCAGGAGACCTACTTGCTCGCTTGCCATCTTCTATATTCATACGCTTAAATAACGATAAAAATGTAGGTTATGAAGATCCATATTTTGATCGTACTGGTAGTTAAGAAACATCCGGAGAGGCTCTCTGGATATTCCTTCTACAGTGGGGTCACTCCCTACTATTTAAATTCGACTGAGTTGCAAGGTTCTGTATGTAAGACCGTCTTCAAAGTATTACGTATAAGTACTAAAATAATAACACATTATTTTTGGGCGTTTTTTGCTTGATTTATGGTATTTTACCTTTTTTTGGTTGAATATTGATATTAATATAAACTTTGATGACCTGATGGGTAATTAAAAAGAAGCGGATGTCCGTCTTTAAACCAATTGTCTTATCTGACATACGGAATTTGATAAAAATTGGATCCGATAACTAAAAATCTAACACCAAAAATTAAACTTGTCATAGTTTTACATAATATAGTTATAAATATTGTTGTGGTCACATAAATTTATTAGTAATTGTGCAAAAACCTAGCACGCGTTGCGTTACAAAAGCAATAAACAGTATTTAAAAAAAATAGCGAAATCGCATGAAGTTGCTTGTTACTTTTATTTTATTTAATTGTCAACAGTGAATGTGCATGAGTCATTATTTATTCAATTGTTGAATCGCGCCGCTATCTTTCTGTTTCACAACTATACGCGTTCTCGTTTTAAAATAGATTATATATTTACCTCATTGGCCATTCCAACATACATGCATATTTTGTCCCGGTGCCATCATTAGTTCTTTTCTTAAAAATTACAAACCCTTTGTAATTTTTAATTACCGACTAAGTGACATTGTAAAACGCACTGGGAGACGCTATATAGAATTAATGTCTTTTAATTGCGAAGATCATGTCTAGACCATAAATATAAAGACATCTGTTCTGTGGGCATTACGATCGATTCATCACTGCCTGATGAATTGTTAGAAGAACTGACTTCCATTGATTTTCTGCGACGTAACGAGGTTTTAAGCCATACCTACTTATTTTGTCGCGTTTGGATGAATGACGAATGAAACTTAACCATTTGCGAAACCTTTCTTTCTTTTCTTTAATTGTAATAAATGTAACCAATAGCAACTTTTTGACATTAAATTTTTTTATAATACCAATTTATTTAATTTTACCGTTATTATTTGCAATTAATGTTTAAGAGTATCATCAAGTTTTTAGTTATTTTTCTATTGTTTTCATATTTGCTTACATAAGTAGGTTTACATATGGGTTTTTTAATATTCCTGAGAACTCTTCAAAGACATGACAAAGACAGACTTCAGCGTCGGTATAGCTCATGATGAGTGATTACCACCGCCCATGGAGCCATAGCCGGCCCACACGTGCAATAGCTTAAAGTGCTGCGTGGTCCTACCACGTTATTTATACATAAAAGACATTTTGTTTAATAATAAAAGGAGCGCAATAAATCGGGCGCGTCTGTGGCATTAAAACGAACGTGGGATTCGAAATTCAACGGGAGCGGGCAGCAAAAGAAAACGGCAGGTTGATTGCGTGAGGTCGCAACAACAAAGACCTGTCGGGTGGTGGACAGAGCCTGCGCGCCGAGTGAGAGGCACAATCGCTTGGGTGTACGAGCTCCATAATTCCAATTTAAAAGGCGAGACCATTTATTAGTATTATACTATAACATGTACAATACAATCTTTGCTAAATCGAAAATAGTATATGTAAATTTTATACACTTTTTAATATATTTTTTTTGATTCTATAATACCTATTTTTATTTTATTATTGTAATGTGCAGATGTGTTTTGATTGCAAATAAAGGTTATTATTTTTTTTTATGTGACAAAGTGGCAAACGAGCTGGGGCGGCGACTCACCTGATGTAAAGTGATAATCGCCGCCCATGGACATTTGCAACACCGGTAGGGTTGCAGAAGCGTTGCCACCCTTAAATAAAGTGGGCTCCGGCTACCTGACCAGACGAAACGCCGAAGTGTAACACTTCTACTTTACGCCGGTCTTCTGTGAGGTCGTCGTGATGACCCGGATTTATTTATTATTATTAAATAGCCATCGTTCGAATAAAATATCTGGCTGCAGAATAAACCTAGTGATTTTTTTTATCAAATTCAAAGTTTTGTGAAAATCTTTTTCAGCCATTCGTTATGCTGAGGTTTTTGACAGCGGAAAGCGGATATGCCTCAACAAGAGATAACGCTATACACCTATTTTTAAACATAGCCTTAAACTTAAAGCCTTATCTGTCACCCTGTAGCGTGGTTGCCCTAGTCACGAGTCTACTCGATTCACAATTCAATTTCGATATCTCGCCAGTGTCGCGCCGACCGCCGACGGTGTTACATGTTGCGTTCCGTAATTGTGGATTTACACAAACTTCCCGAAGTCCGAGTGATTTGATTTTAATACTAAAAGATACGAATTTTCAGTTTCAAATTTCGACTAACGAATTATAGTGTTGTGAAATAGTGATCCGTTTGTTTTGTAACGTAGTTATCTCGTCTTAACGGGTGGCGATAAAAACAAGCTGGTGTACCGAATGTCAGCCGGCGATTAGTTTGGTAAAAGTGTGTGTGTGCCAACGCTTGATGGTTCAATTAAGACTAGATTATAGTACGCTTTTTATTGTATTCATCGACGACCTAAGTGAGGTGCACCGAGATCACCAATGTTGAAGTTGGTGAGTTCGCTTTTTGAATGTCGAGTTGCTTGTAACTCGATTTGTAAACATTGAAACTGTGTTGTTCTTAAACGATTATAAATTGATTTCATAATGTTCATTCATAAATTGAGCATTTATTATGTGCTATAATCATTAGGGTTTTGTTACTTATTTGATTTATAATCACGTGTTCATATTGATTGCATCCTTATTGGTATGTCCGCATAAGTTTTTAGATAAGATAATAATAATTTAGTTTTTGTTGTATCTTGATGCGTAAAAGCTGATAATTATTGTTTTAAAGAATCCATTATCATATTTGAAAATGGTGAGGCCTTCTTCGTAGAAGTGTAAGGATATATTAAATGTACATTGCATTTTTGTAATCGTGTCAGAATTTTATTGCCGTCAAGTGTGTGTAATTAAAAAAACGTAATAAAATTATGCAATGTGCTTTGTAGTAGGTATTATAATAGTAGTCATAAACACAAGTATGAAATAATATTGTAACGCACAGATACCTACTATTGTTGAGAAAACTATATTTACACATTTTATTTGCTGGCAATAATGGCAATTACGCTGAATGAAAGGCCTGGGTTTATTCCAAGTCAGATTGTTATCAGTACCAGATTTCACAAATACTATACCACATTTATGGAGTTCGTGTAAAACTTTATCAGAAAACTTAATATGTGATAATATACATGCATGAAGGTTTATCACACAAAACGAAATTAAAAACATTTGATTTTGATGATTTTGTCATAGTAATTTTTCTTTTTTAGTAGGCACATAATTAAGTTGCTGTTTTAGCTTGGCATTATCAAAAAAGTTAGGCACGGCTATCAACTTCTCAAGTAAGGGTTATGTTTCTCTATTATTTAAACATATTTGTAAGTAGATAGTATTCCGTCGGTTATGTGAAAAATTACCAAAATTAGGTTCGAACCTTCTCAAAAAGTTTTTATAACATAGTACCTAGTTGTAACAAATGTTAAGGTACGTTATGAGCCTTGGTGAAACGTGTATACAGCATTTTTCTGAATAAATGAACTTTTTGTATTTAGTAATCACTTGATTTGTCACGTAAAAGTGATCGCTCTCACTCGCCAGATATTTCACTCATAATCGCCGTCACACATTACAGAATAGTAACACTAACAGGCGAACGAATGAAAGTGAGACGCCATCTACTTCACGTTGCGTTCACAAATTGTCCATGCATCATTGGATGTTTCGCGGGTTTTATCGTTAAAATTCATTGTATCGGTGCTTGAGGTTATTTCATTCTTTTGTAACGTAATCTTCATTTATTTTATAACACTGTCTTGTGTCATTTATTCATTGATTTTCATTTTATGCATATCAGGCAGGTATTCAAAACTTAAGTGAAATAGGTACTATACTTTCAATTGTTTATTAACTTATTACTTAAAAAAACTTTTTTCTTTTTTTATTAAATTTGTAATTAATTCTGAAGATAGGTTTCAAGTCGATACTCCGATCTGGCGTACGTTAGTACTATATTATAAATTTTAATTAAGTCTATTGTGTGCTATAAAAATATTTCAAAATAATCATTTGAATAAAGTTTAATATGAATACAAATTTAAAAAATGTGGGGGATATGTAATCGCTGAAAAAAATGTGTAGAATACATTTTTTTCAGCGATTTTAAACGATTCTATAAACAAGTTTATCTACTATGGTAGGTACTACCCTTGAAAATTATCGCCTACTTTATAACAGGCAGTCCCTATAAAGAATATACCCATCGCCTTTGACGTTGTTAGGCAACACTGGCCTGGCACAAGCCATACAAGCATTAATGAATATGTAATGTTTATGGTAAGCTCTAACAGACTACATATTATGTTGTTAATAATAAAATTTCCGCTTGTCTATGCTTGCTTCTATACAAAATAAACAACGCTGTTTACTTATGATATTATTCGTCAGATTTAAAGGCGTAGTTTTTTAGGGTTCTGTACCTAAAGGGTAAAACGGGACCGTATTACCAAGACTCCTGTCTGTCGTCAGGCTATATCTCATGAACCGTAATAGTTAGACAGGTGAAATTTACACAGATGATGTGTTTCTTTGCGGCTAAAAAACAGAATAAATAAATATTTAAGTGGGGTTCCCATACAACAGACATAACTGTTGCAGTTTTTATACATACTGGCAATTGGCCGGGTTTTTTAAATTGCTACAGTGCAACTTCAAAATAAACTAATCGACACAACTTTCAATTAATTATACCACAAGCTGAAGCACCTGCAAGCATAGGGTATTTTGATCGGAGTTTAAGGGCTAAAATAGATAGAGGCTTTAGTAACATCTGCCACTGTTCCTTGGTCTAGGAAACACGGTCGTTGTGAACGATCGTCGTTTAAAATGACAATTTATATTACCATATGGACCAGAAATATACAGTTGCTAAGGCAAACCCGTTTCTGTTAAAATCATTATCGATCGTAAAATTAAGCATAGTATCGCATTAAATACAAATGTATTAGTACATTCTTAACGTACTAATATTTATAATAAAGATTGCCGTATATGCCCTTAATAATATCACTTACTGAAACATGGGAAGTGTTAAAAATAGATTTTAATCGGCAAAAAAATGATCTAGCTCCCCAGAAACATGATGCTTCACCTCGCAATCATTATTCACATTTATATGCATAACGATAATGGCACCTCTGAACATTCAGCCACCGGTCACGATCGCGATTATGAAAAATTGTTTTTAATGTTTTTATAATCTGCGAAACTATGGTGTTGTTTTTGATGCATACAGGTGCGCCCGTATGTCATTACGTCCATCTAAAATTGCCGTGAATTTTCAAGAAATTAAGCGATGCTTTTTGCTGCAGCCTGTAAATATTATAAGAGTGGAAATTACTTAAACCCATGAGAGTATGTGACCAAAATTTTTTTTCTTCTTAAGAATTACATTTTTTATTTCAACTGTGCGGCGAATTCTATATTCCTTTAAGTACGGTTTTAATGGCTAATTAGTATATTATATAGCCTTGACTTATTCCTGTAACTTCTGCACGTTAAATATATTTTCTAGAATAGATAATCCGCCTACCTAAAGACTAAATATGGCGCAGACACGTAACTAATATAACGGCATTAAATGAACTTATAAATTAAGTTCTCCTGTCTTCCAATTCAATTCAGGGAGTAAATTGCGAAGTAAGGTACACCAGAATCCATTTGCTCTCTTCGCAAGTTTAATCTTTTAGGCTAGGATCCGATTAATAAGTTATAACAGCATTCTCGTAACGTAGCAGGTGCTTAGAGGAAGCAGTTACAGAGCAAATCATGTGCGTATCATCGGTCTTCAATTCGTATTTAGGGCGTTTTCAACCGACTTTAAAAAAAGAAAAAACCCCCTTTGGTTCTCAATTCGACTGTATTTTTTTGTTTGTTACGTCAGAACTTTCGACTGAATGAACGGGCTTTGATGATTCTTTTTTTATTTGAAAGCCGGTGCTTCCCATGTGGTCCCGCACAAATTTCGTTGGTATTGGATCCTCGGCTCCGGAGATACATAGGGAACTCGTGAAAACAAATTGTAAGATGAATACAGAACGGGATATTTGAATTCGGTTTTGTTTTTCGTTAGTAAAAATATTGACTTGTTTCGCTTTACGTTAGCAATGTCACAAATCACAGGTGCGCTCCCGTGGTCGAGACGCCGCCAGTGTGGCTTGCCGTCCGCCAGACGTCGCGTGCTTGGGCTAATGGTCCGTGTCCGGACTTCCACTGACGAACGTTTCCCCTGTCACTGCGGCTGAGATTCTAACGGGCTCCCTTATATAGACCGCGCCGTTTCTAACGGGCGTTTTTTCTCACGCAAACATCGCGAGACAATGGCAGCCACGCGGTGTCTGTTGCGCGAATGGGCAATCTCGTCCCGGGACGCACCACGGCCTGCGAAGTCAGATGTTGAGTGAGTGAGGTAACCGGCTTAAAAGTTAACGCATCAGCAAACCCGCAGATCTCGAAGTTGTTCATGGATGGCGGTGATCCCTTAACATCAATGAACTGCTCGTTTCGTATGCCACCTTCTCATTAATAAGTCCGATCCTATGAACACACCAACAGAGGAAACACAAGCAGGTTACATAACCACATTATAGTCATACAAAACCACAGTTTAATACCGCCGAGCTTTTTTAGAATGCCCATGGCTGAAATTATCTTGAGGAGTAGTAGAACCCTGCAGGACTCGCTTAAAATACAATTCACTTATTGTTTTGTTTGATATTGTCAAAGGGAACAATACTCAAATCGAAGAATTGTCTTCTGCTTTTTTCGCGACTGACATATTCGAGTATTTACTCATTTTAGTTTACTATTTGTTCACGGACCACCATTACTTACTATTACGTACTATTTGTTCCAAAGTGTGAAAAGTATTCTGATAAAAAACAAAAAACAAGATCAAAAATGAAGCATTGTTATAAATGTGCTTATTATAAATGTTCTGAATATTTGCCACTCCCTTTTGTTGAAATTTTTTCCGCTGTTGGACAATATTGAATCATTGAAGAAACGATGTAGTTATTTGCATCGAACCTGCATCGAAAATGTTAAGAAGATTACTTGCGATATTTATTACTGGCCTTTTATTCAAATGAGTACTGCATATTTTTATTTCGATCCGCAATGGCGGCGATAAGAAATTCATTTTTACTGGAGGCAATGTTTATCGTTGAACTTTAGGCTCGGAAGACTGCTGGTCGGTGCTTGATAATTTATAAAACTCTTTCTCGTTAAACGCGTACCGTCGCTTCGTTTATTTTAGTTTTGTTAGAATTTCGGTATTTTTATATAATAAATATAAACTCAGTAAAAAGGGTTTCAAGTCATAGTTCGTCAAGCGGTGAACTTTACATACTTAGAAAATGCTTTAATTATTATATTCGGCCTTGCAGGTTGCAGGTCTCCTTAGAGTCTAACTTCACATTCATAACACGTGATAAATGAATTCA